ATTAGTACAACCACTGGATGTGTACGGCTTCCGAATTTGGAAAAATTTTGCGAAAAAACTTTCTGATTTAGCAATACTTTAAAATATCAATATAAATCTGTCTGCCAGAAATAACATAATTAAATTACAATCTTTAATTCACAATCAGTTGTCCAGTCCGAGATATAAAAATTTATTTAAATACGCATGGTTTCAATGTGGTTACACCGACATTAAGCCGCCAGAATTTGAAAATCCAGTTGATTTTTGTTTTATGTGTCTAGATACAATGACCTGCTGTTCTTGTAATGACGTCGTTTGTATCAAATGTTCATGGTGCAAACAGCACTATTGTTTCGACCATTTTTTCAAGAGTTATCATTTTTGTGAAAATTACTGCGACTAATTTCTTAACTAATTTCCACAGCCTTCACGAGATAATAATCCAACCAGCCCTTTTCAGGGCTCCCAGATATATTATACGTAGGAATATCTCAGGTTCATATTCGAAGTAGTATTTATAACGACGGATGTAAGAACTGCAACCAAATTACGATCACTTGGAAATCAGCAAAGGTCGAAAATGAAACAGTTCTTTTCAGAGCTACCTGACGTTAAAAAATCAGAACATAAGATACAACCAACTAATATTTAAAACGACCCTCGTTCAGTAAAGACTCCTTAATAAAAGTATCACACTCATAAACAGGTCCTGCAATCGTTAAGCCGAAACCTTACTTACGCTTATACGCTGCCCTTTAGTACGCAGCGCAGGTAAACGTTATACCTGTCATTAGACCGAAATTTTTACCATTTTGGGATCAGCCAGCAAAGCATACTATAATATAATTAAACAAAAGTCATTAAACCATAGCATTTGTCGTATTATATGCGATCTTGTACTTCGTATAACGAATCGAAATACGAAAAAAATTACAAATATAAAATCTTTCATTATTGTGAAAAAATCAAAATTCCAATTTATCCGTATTTTGTACATGGATGTGTAGTTTCTCTGTACAAATGGAAAAAAAAAATCATTAATATCCAACGAGAAAAATGAAAAAAAGGGCTATTTTTTAACATATTGTTTAAACAAATAAAAGTTTTGCAAATCTCTTTACACCATCAAATTCGCCGTTTAAAAACATTAATTTCGTCAATTGAAAGCACACCCCCATCTCTCATAGTTTCCGAGATATTCAACAAAGTATGTTTTGAACCCCCAACTTTGAGGGCTGATTTCAACCCCCTAAAGTGAATATTAGCAGCTACAAAAAAATACGGGTCTAATAGATTTATGAGAACTACAAAATTGCGAAGTTTCATCAAGATTGGAGATTTACACCTCGGGATGTTCCCTTGTGAGTCAGGGCCAGATTGGTAAAGACCTTCCTATCGCGTACGCTTCCAGAACGCTTAACGGTGCGGAAATCAATTACTCCACTATTGAAAAGGAATTACTCGCCGTTCTCTACGCAGTTGATCATTTTCGACCCTATTTGTATGGGCAACAATTTACGCTAGTAACCGACCATCGACCGTTAGTCTGGCTTCATAGTGTAAAGGACCCTACTTCCCGCATCATGAGGTGGCGAATTAGATTAAATGAGTACGACTATAGTATAGTATACAAACCTGGGAAAGTAAATTCGAATGCTGACGCGTTGTCTCGTAATCCCCCAGATTCTCATAACTTCGCCCCGGGTCCTTCCTCATTAACCTTGGACCCTTCCTCCGACCGTACCGACCCCTCACCTTGTAAGCGTCCGCAAAGGGTAGTCGTAGGCGCCAACGACGCATCACTTGTGGATTCTGAAAAGATAGGGGGAACGGATCATGATGGAATATGGGAAAGTAACGAGAAGATAATAGCTACCATTTTCCTCGCCCATGAAACGAATTTTGAAGGTCGACCTGAGGTCTTAATTGGGACAGATCACTCGGACGACAGTTTAACAGACAATGACACTCACCCTACGGTAAGAATGGCCGGGACCAGTAGATCTCTCGCTAGAGATGTAGCTGTTGGAGGATCGCTCCAGGGAGGACGTGGGGCTGGTTTCCGGGCCGGCTGTCTGTGGGATATCGGGAAGGCCGACTTTGATGGACTCCCGCCACAGACCCCGTTCACGGCCGCTCACGTACCTCGGGCTCCGGACTCGTATGACCTGGAACATCGGATAGGCTTTGATGCACCCCGTCCAGATCCTCGACCCGCGGCCGCGACTTGTGTCTGGTTAGGGGCTGACGAGCCAAATTTGGAGGCTGAAAGATGCCGGACTTTATTTTGGACCAAGGGCGCTGTTGATGGGACGCGATCCTCCGTTGATACGACCTCAGGAGATGACGACCTAAGTAAAGGACATAACTGTAGAGTTCTGATGACAAGGACGACTTCATCCATACCAACCACCCATCACCTTTCCTCCCCTAATATCGTGTACTCAAAAGATCACCTCTACATGCTTCAGGATAACCTCATTCATTTTTTTCCCCTTGATCAGGAGGTTCAATCCCAGATCAGCAAGGATCTGGTGACTCATAGGAGATTCTCCCTTGAGGGGGTTAGATCACATAAACCTAATGTCGGAGAAGCAATGGTTTTCCCTGATACAACCTCTCTTACCTTTCATCTTTTTGTAAAATCACGTGCGGTAGAACCAGTAAATCATGTTCATCTTAAGTCTTCGGTAATCTCCCTCAAACATCTCATGGACACCCTGGGTGTCAAAACAGTTAGCATCTCTAAACATGGCAATAATATTGAACCTATTAGTTGGGACTTCGTTAAATATCTTTTAAGGGAAGAATTAAATAATTCAGAATATACAATTACCGTTTGCACAGGCGAGATTATAATTCCCCCTCCATCTAGGAGACTCCATATTATTAGGGAGCTGCATGAGTCCGACACCGGTGGCCATCAGGGTGTCCGTAAGCTGGTCAACAGGGTTAGAGAGGATTTTTATTGGCAGCACATGGTGAAGGAAATAAGAGATTTCGTACGGTCATGCCCACAATGTCAGAGGAACAAAATCCTGTCCACCAAAACCCGACAACCGATGCGGATAACTGACACCCCGAAGAAGGCATTCGAAAAGGTACAAATGGACATTGTGGGGCCCTTACCGATCACGAGGAAGGGTAACCGGTGTCTGTTAACCCTTCAGGACAACCTCACCAAGTACTCCGACGCGATTCCCCTGCCCAACATCGAGGCTGTATCCATGGCCATGGCTGTGGCTGAGCAATTCATTAGCCGGTTTGGGTGCCCTAGAACCATACAAACGGATCAGGGCAGTAATTTCGTTAGTAATATTATGAAAACCTTCTGTAAGATATTTAAAATACAGAGAATTACCTCCACCGCGTTTCACCCACAATCACTGGGATCTCTTGAACGGGCGCATCGGGTTTTTGTAGATTATTTGAAACACTATTGCACTAAAACCGACTGGGATGATTGGATTCGTTTTGGCATGTTCTCTTATAATACTTCAGTCCATGAGGTGACTGGGTTCACTCCACACGAGCTTGTGTTTGGCGTGAAGGCAATTATTCCTTCAGAATTCATTAATCAGGAAATTCCGTGAACCTTTATTGACCATTTGGATGAGTTGTTTTTAAAAATAAGCACAACGCAGGCTGTAGCAGCAGCTAATCTGGAAAAGGCAAAACAAAGAAGTAAATTAGATTACGACAAAAGGGGCCATCCATGTAAATATTCCATAGGCGCCGACGTATATTTATTAAAGGAGCCCAAAACGTCTAAATTCGACCCTAGTTGGCTGGGACCTTACAAGATTGTCCGAATGTTCGATGAACTGAACGCGGAGATAGCCATAGGAACTAACAAAACGAAAATAGTTCATACGAATAAATTGAAATTAGCTTGCATCCGATTGGACTCCTCGTAATGTACTTTACCGTTGTATCATTGTAGTGAGAGACGTTTACCTGTGTGCAAATAAGTAGTCCGTGCTGTCCTATTAGAAATTAATGTTAGCTTAGCGATACAGACATCCCATATAGCCGGAAGGAGGTCCAATTTAACGTAAACACGCGAATTGTTGAAAAGCTGTTTCCAATGGAAAACACCTTTTGTATAAGGGGGGAGGTGTTGCGGTCGCCCCCTGGCGCCGTGTAGCAGAAGCTCTGGGGGGCGCGAGGTTTAAATCAGATTACACGAATGTTACGGGAAAGGGAGACAAAGTGGAGTCCGCGCCAATTCTACGGTTTAAAAGTAGTTAGAGATTCTTTTAATGACTTCACTTCGGGTCATAGATTAGCCAATAATTTATTGGAGACGGATGTTTGGATAGTCGTGAACTCCCCTTTGATCCTTTCTCCTAGGGGTGTAATTCCAGGCTTGGGCCGTGCGCTATCGATTGCCGGAAACGGGCTGCGTGCAAAAGTCGATAACGGCCACGTGCCGCAGAGGACCGTTCTCGAGGGATCGGGAGTGTGCCGAGGAACGCGCGTGCGAGAGTTTTGCGCCCGGCCCGAATAAAAGAAAAGACGATCGGAAGGGGCCTATGTGTGGGCTGGGCCTCGATCGGCCGGCAGAGCGACACTTGAATCAAGACGATCGAAAGTGAACGGACGTAGCATTGTAACTTAAGCGAGATCGTACTTGTATCATTTGAGTTAGTTAATTGAGTTGATTAAAGAGAGAAGCATTTTGAATTAAGAGAGCGGAAGTGTACGAACGGGTTATAATAGTTCCTGCAAAATCTTGGTTGTTTTGTTTTATATTCCTTTATTGAGTTAATTAAAGTTCTATTTACGTGTGTTCAAATCGTTGTATCCATTTATTATTTTCCTTATCTAGCGATCTCCGTTTGAAACTCCCGCGTCCAAGGAGCAGAGTGCCTTAGCACTCCACGGGCAGCGTTCCCCACCGAATTCCCTACGAAGTTTCGGAAATACGCCGCCGGACGCGCAACAATACAGAAAACAGGCTAGGGATTTACCTGGCACCATAAATGATGTCGCTATTTGAGTGTAAACATTTCATGTATTACACGAGACAAATCACAGAAGTTTGATTTTTGATCTGTATTTCTAACCACGTTTAAGCAAATATGTCAATAGCTGCTTATTTATAAACAGTTTTGTTTAATAAAAGAATGATACGATGATCAGACTATAATACAAACCAGTGAAAAGAGGTATCATCGTAAATATTAATAGTAAATAGTGTCAATAAACAAATTTGTATCTTTTTTTCTTTAATGTGTATTTGACAACGAAAGCACAATGTCTTATATGCTATCACATCTACACAATGGGTGGCAGGTAGACCAAGCAATTTTATCAGAAGAAGATAGAGTAGTTGTAAGTTTCTAATATTAGAGACTAGATTTAGATCACGACCTTTCTAGAAAGTTTGTATGTAATTGGAATTTACCAATATTTATATTTAATAAATAATGTCAAATTATTATATAAAAATACATTTATTTAGGTTATTAGATTTGGTCATGATTGGGATCCAATGTGTATGAAAATGGATGAAGTCCTTTATAACATTGCTGAAAAGGTTAAAAACTTTGCTGTCATTTATTTGGTTGATATTACACAAGTACCTGACTTCAATAAAATGTAAGTTTCTGAAGATTATTATCGTACAAATTAATTTTGATTAAGACTATATTGATATTCTTTTTCAATAGTATATTCTTATAATGATTCATATAACTTCTTTTAGATTACTTTTATAATATTATTACATTAGTATAGTCATCAGAAGTAAAATTATTTCAAACATTTGGCAGTTAGTTAAAAACTATTGTAGATTTATAGGTCCTTTTTCCAGAAACTTCATTATTTACTATTCCAAATTTTAAATAATTTTTTAAATGTTATTTCTTTATTATAAGATAATTTATATAAAAAAAGATTCTCAAAAAATGAGACGATCAAATTTCTTTTCACTTCCTTTGTTGCCAATTTTAAGTAAATACAATAAAAAATTCTTATTTTTTTAATTGACCAAAAATGTATACTTTTCATGTGAGTAATCAACAAAAAAGTGTAGTATATTTTTTGGTGTTCCATAAAAATTTAGTGATTAATATAATAGCCTATGAATGTATTGATTGTAAGAGTGTGTAGATTGTAAGATATTAATTTTATCTTTTGTAGGTATGAATTATATGATCCTTGTACGGTCATGTTTTTCTTTAGAAATAAGCATATAATGATAGATTTGGGAACAGGAAATAATAACAAAATAAATTGGACCCTAGAAGATAAACAAGAAATGATTGATATTATTGAAACAGTCTATAGGGGTGCTAGGAAAGGTAGAGGTTTGGTTGTTTCACCCAAAGATTATTCTACAAAGTATCGCTATTAATTTATTTAATTAATAGAGTTTGATAGAAATATTATTTTATATTGATCCATGTCGGTAAGTTGAAAAACAAATGTGGTAACAAATTTATATCAATAAGTCATAGTACTCTGTGATTATAAATAAACATAGAGCTATAATATACATTTATACAATTTATTTAAATATTAATAGAAATTCATCATACATATTGCTATTTGTTATAAATGTACGAATAATGTTTTAGGTAGGCCAACAAGATTTAAACGTGTATGAACAATTCAAAAATTAATGAAACAATAAGACAAGCAAAGTATAATTATAACATGTTATGTTTATTATATTGATGAACTAATGTTCGTAAATTCAAAATAAATGTGATTTTCTAATTGTCACTAAATGTAATATTTCTTGTTTTATATTATCAACTGATTCAGGATAAGCATCATAGATGCTTTTATTATATTAGATAATATAATAATATGAGAATATTAAATACATAAAGTATACATTATAGAAAGAATTAAACAGTAATGCAACGTAAGTATGCGATCTGATTTTAAAATTTGTTTCTTCTAAAAATAGATTTCTCAATTATTTGGATCAGATATTATTGTTGAATTTAAAAATTGAATTATATTTATATGTAACATATTAATTTTATAACAATTTTATAAACACAAAAATAGGATATTCGACGTAACAAAAGCACAACGTGATATATCAATTTTTCTCTTTTTTTATTCGCTCCATTTAGAACTAAATACACTTATATTAATTAATTTAGTACAGTTTTTGAGGAAGGCCCCATAGAAGATTTGATGTGAAGCGAACGTACATTTAGCCAATGTTTCTTTATCAATTAAACCAGAAAGTTGACTCAAAGGTGTAAAATTTGTACCAATTCATCTAGCGTCATTTCCACGTGTCTTACAGCTACTGCTAGACACAATACCTGGGAACATATATTAAATTACAATTTTGTTTTTAATTTTTATAGTACATTACTTCTTTTAATATTGTCTATATGGTATATATTAAACATTCAATCGTTTCTCTGATGTGAATATTCACGTATAAATTACTCATTAAAACTAACGGCTGACGCCCTTGTACCATTCTTCCACGAGAAGAAGGCACAGTGTGTTTATAATCCCCACTTCTGTTGCAATCTGCTGACTCACAGATATTGGTTGAAAACGGTGACGAAGATCGGTGACAGCCAATCAGCGGATTGCAGCAGGAGTGGGGATGATAACACGCTGTGCATTCTTCTCGTGGAAGGACGATGTATGGACATCTTCTTTTTATAAAAATTGAAATTTATGTAAATTGCTATTTACTTAGGCTTCGAAAGCTTCAAATAATAAAAAGAAGAAAAAGTTTCGAGCTATCAAGTATCCCATTCGTATACATATAAAGTGCTAGTGGTTCTCACGCAGCATGAAAAATTCTACTTACCGACATTATCGACAATCTTAGATTTTTGTCCACTTATGGGAATGCGGACACCTTACGTTGAATAAGATTCAACCTGTCTTATGAAAATCCAGAAGGGCATATCAAAACTCGCCCGACGAGATTTTCACAGAGAAAGGGTGAATGCCAGTTCCAATACACAATGTTATGAACAAAAATCACCCACACGCTATTATACACGCCCCACGATTGTCCACAGTGTCCGTAAGTATCCACAAATAATCCTTTCAGGCACTAACCACTATGCAATTAAATAAACACGCACCGCGATTATGTTATTCGTGAGTGCCTATGTGTACGTGTATCACGATTCGGAAGAACAACTGAAATCCGACCTCCCGTCAACGCCATACGATCTGGATTCTCGAGCCGAGATTCTCGACTGCCCAGGCATTTTTACTTTCCGACTTATGTAGTCGGCGACTACTAGTCGCACATAAGCAAAGTACCCATAATGAAAAAAAATTTTGTAAAATTTATTTTACGGAAATACAAGTTTTAAGGCCCCTTGATCATATTTTAATTATTGAAAAGAAAGAAATTTTTTTTATTATTCCCATATATGAGCGCACATATGTATATTATTAATACGATTGAGTATAAATGGCTGAATGAATTTAAATGAAACTTTACATTTAAGTTTTATGTTCTCATTTCAAAGTCTGGTTAGACTTTGACTATAATCAGCCCATGGATAATAATGATTATACCTCTTCTTTCATAGTTGTTCTGATATATAGGCATAATGTATACAAAATCTTTTAAATGTTTCATATTAATCTTAGGAAGAATTAAATTTTATGTAAAAAAAATTATATAAACTTTTTCTCTATCTTCTCTAGAAAACAAAAAATTAAATGAAATCTTATACATTACATGCTTATTTAAATTGCATTGAAAACGAATACCACAAATGTTTTAGAATAATGTGCAAAATGGTCTTACTCGCAGAGTAAATTTAGAAATAAATGTTTGGTAATTGAAAACAGGCAAGCAGCTTACCGGCTGCGGTTTTCGCTAAGACAAATTGAAAACTCGGTTCTAACAAGGAAAAGTTGGAATGGTACCCGGTTTTTAGTTAGGTTTTACTTTGAGATATTATTAAAGTTATTACAGGTACTTATCTTCAGAAATAGAACTACGTTCAACCACAGACGAGATATATGAATAGACGTTTCACGTAATGTAATTTTTCGGCCGGAGTTTCTGGGGTCCCGGGACCCCATTACCATTTTCGTGTCACTCGCTACGTTATCAACAGATTCAGAATTTAACACAAGAGGAAGTGAGACAGAAAATAAAACTACATAAATTTTATTATTTTTTAACGGAATTAAAGCTGTAGGGTCCATCATTGGACATTAATCGATTAATTTCATTGGAGAAATCAATCCATTTAGAGTATTTAAAAATTTCAAGATTATTAAAATTCATAAGGATGTATTTCATTGATACGTACACCGCAAATTCTCTATTTTTTATTTTAAATTGTAATACATCATTTATTAAAAAATAACTCGGCAGAAACGTATTTGCGACTCGAAATCAGTTTAATCAGACTGTGCATCGGGGCCCCGGAAACTCCTCATTCCTCGCTTTCGCACACTATGCTCAATTGCGTGTACGTGAGCTCGTTGAGTTTCGGAAGAGCCGAGAAGAACAGGCTGATACTCGCTTTCCTTCTCGCTCTTGCATCGCTGACGTCGTTTACATTTCTCGAAAGCAAGCCTGGCATCGCCAACCGTTCGAATCGTCAGTAAACGACAAAAGCCATCGTGACTGACAGACCTTACATTTCTCGAAATCGGACCTGGGCGCTTTTTGAAGATTCATTGACTTTCCATACGAAGCGACCATGCGTTATATACATATACATGTTATACATGCTAGGAACTATAAATTGTATAACTTTCGTTGTATATCTACTTTCTAATAACATGGGAAAATTTTAAAATATAAAAAAATGTAAGAATACTGTAGATATTTTGCAATGGAGAATTATTGAAAGAAAATGAGGTAATTATTTAGAAAAGGCCGGGTCTCACCGATTTCGATGATTTTTGAATATGTTGTAGAAATCAACATTTTGAGCAACTTTTTCCTATACATATAACCGCCGCTCGGCCTTAGTTTCCGAGATTTTTCTTCAAAAAGATCGCTACTACTACAATGAATTCTGTCTATATGTACATATCTGTGGCTCTGTATTGCATCAGTCCACGATCGTTGCTTTTTTCTCTTGTTTGTATTAGTCGGCATGACAACCGACGACAAATAATGTATAATGTGTCGAGCTAAATCTAGTTCTGCATTGTTGTCAAAGGTTCGAATATTCTGAAGTATGGAACTCGCCAAATACATTATGTAGGCTATTTAGGTGAATTCTTCTTCCGTCGACAATATCATGCTAATGATCTAATAATTAAATTTGTCGAAATAATGGCTGAAATCTTTCCCACTTCTGATAATATCAATAAAGAAAATTGAAATAGAAAATGAATGCGTGGCCGCCGTTAGGCGGCCGGCTACACAAATCGAGTTTTTAAGCACAGCTGTTATAAAAAAATGTCTTTTAATAGTTATGTTGTATTCCTCTTAATAAGGGTTTATTCGTCGTCGGAACACTGAGGTTAACGGCGGTACCGGTACAATTTAGACAATTCGTCGTCGTCTTAGGTTAAAGGTTAGCGCGTACTTGTGATCTGTCTAGTAATGGAAACTGAGCCAGTTTTGGGAAAAGCGCAGGATATATATCCAGGACTGGAAAAGAGGGAAAGGTAGGGAGAGAAAAGGGCGAGACAGAGAGGGCTTCGAAATGAGTCAGTGGTCAAGGTTCGGGTATGAGTCAGGATAGGTAAGGAAAGAAGTCTAAGCTGTTTGGAGTGAAAATATGATAAAGCATGCAGTAGTAAATAGGATGATGCATAGCGGCGTAAACATGCTGATGCATACTGGCATACAACACCTTCCTCCATAAGATTGTTAACAGGAGGTTAACAATTGAGCAGGTCACGGATACGTTGAGTTTCTATTCTAACTTAATGCGTCTCTAAGTGTAACAATTGTGCAAGTCACGAATACGTTGAGTTTCTATTCTAACTTAATACGTCTCTAATTATAATAAATGTCAACGAGAATTATAGGTTATTACTGTACATCTACCTTATAGCTAAATATAATATATATATATGAATATTATGGTTATAAAAATAATGTAAGAATATTATAAAGATTACAGTTTCTGATAAGTTAATACTATACGTATGCTATACATATATGAGAGTCGTAAGGTGTACATTAACATAACTTATCGATAATATATTAGGTTTCTCTTTCCCCTTTTATTTTTAGAGAGGCGTAGTGCTTCTACGCGACCTTTGTCGCGTTTGAACTCGAACTGCGGGGTTGGTTTCTTCATCTTCTGACATCTCAGGAACTGAAGAGATTGTAACTGGTGAGTTCCGTCTGGGTTGATAGGAAACTATCTCATTGATTGATGTGGTTGGTAGATTCGTTGATGGCGATGTGTTCGTACACTCCGCGGATGAGACGCGTTTGCTGTGTGACGCGTCGACGAGGGTCGTAAGTCCTCGTCACGAATATTTTCGACACCCGGAAGAATGTACGTTTAAGATCCCTACGTCCTGTTAAGTCCGTTGGGATTAATTGGGTTTGAAATAATCTGGACAACGTGTGCAGGAAAAACTATATATTTTTGTATAATAATTAAATTGTGTTCGTGAATATTGTTTCGCGTTTTGTGTTACGATACCGAGTGCGTGGTATACTGGTCAGAAATCAAGTACCGCCCGGCGATCGGGACCCTGGCTATATACCCCTGGTCCCGATCGTCTTTTGGATTTTCTTCGCGCCGGGTGCAAAAGTTCGAGGCGCGCGCCGCGGAACATT